CTCTTTCCCTCGATTACTGAGCAGATTAATCTGATGTTGACGGTGGATCCCGGACTTCGTGATCTATATTTCGCTTGAGGTTTTCGAGGAATCCACGGAACGATCTCAATGCGAAAGCGAACCATAGGCGAAAATAGGATGGAAAATAGGAAACTGCGATAATGTTGAATCGATGTGCATATTTCATAGTTTACGTCTGCGAATTGGAGACAGATGGCAAAACAGCGGTGATTCTTTAATTCTATTTTCAAATGAGCAATTAATGTGCTAAGAAACTTTTTTAGATCTGTATTTGTTCATTGCACATTCTCGAATTAAATTAATATGAGCGATTATATTTGACATACAGAAATTTTATTTCTAAATTTCTTGTTTTTACAAAAAATAATGTAATATGTATAGAACGAATTATTAGACATGGATAATTAAATTTCTTTCTTTCTCAGAAAGATAATGTAAAAATCTTGAAAGAACAAAGCTTAATTTATAAAGTTTATACAAACTTAATACATATTAATGTCTTTAATCAAGTAGATATATTTAATGAAATTAATTCGTTTCCTTTTTTGTACTATTTACTAAAATTTCTTGTTTGATATTATATATGCTAATTGTTTTATTAAGGATATACGACATAAATTAACAATTTATAAATTTATATTTATATATTTGATAATAAATTAAAATAACGGAGAAGCGAAAAATCATTTTTAAATATCTTATATTATCTTTTTAGAGTCAAATAAAAAAGCAAAGTAGCCAAACTCCCTTGAACGAGAGCAACCCGGTATACAACAATAGCATTTTGTTTAGGTCCTGTATGATTGCCCTCACCTGAGATTTCGTTTGCATCGTTACTGCTTCACGCTAGATGGCACAATTGATTCCTTATTAAATACACAATTTTCAGTGATGACATAAACAGTGAATGAACACATGATATATATGTTTTATATAAAGTGTCGTTTTATTTTTATCGAAAACTGTAGACACAGATTATAAATTAAAAGATTAGCTAAAACTGAAAATTATAGATCCACTCTTTTTATTATATTTGTTAGTAACAATAAATAAAAATAATTTGTACTTCTTCTATTTCAAACTTAAGTGATGAATTAATTATAATCGAGTTTTCGACTGTTGCGAAACACATTATGTAATGCAATATGTGCTGAATGATAATAACTCGGGGCAAGTTAAACAATTTATGTAACGAGCTTTCTATGTTTGACAGACGCACATAGAAAATCAGCAGAATAGATATTGTTGCGAGAATTTTTTATTTCCTAAAAAAATCAATTATTTATAAATTTATAAAATATATTATCACTCACAAATGATATCATGAATATAAATTTTGAATAGAAAATTTTGACTTTTTTAAGATAATAACAATTGAGAAAACCATCATATTTAAACTAATAAAAATATAAAGTTTGTTTATTTATATTATTACTTCCGAGGAAGTATACCTAATAGCAAAAAATTAAAAAGTGAGAAATTAAAAAGAAGAAATTTATTCAAATTATATTGTTTTAATTAAGATTTTAGATTTAAAATATTTTGTGTGTATGGATATATTTGTGATAGCGCGCGCACACATTATATATATATATATTAATTTTATATATATATATATATATACAAATATTTATAATTACAAGAAAAAATCTGAAAGCGATATATAAGAATCATATTGTTATACAATTGATAACAATGAGAAGAATAGGTACAAATGGGAGTATAAAAGGATAAGAATAAAAGACGCAAGTAGACTGGATCGATTATTTAAAAACAATGTCGTTTATTTGAATC